ATCATTAGCCATTAGAGAGATGAAATCAAAACAACAATGAGATACCATCTTGCCCCAGTACTAACAGCAAAGTTCAACAAGACAGAAAATAACAAATGCTGGCGAGGTTGTGGAGAGATTGGGGCTCTCATACACTGCTGGCAGGACTGTAAAATGGCACAACCACTGTGGAAAGCAGTATGGCGATGCCTTAAAAAGTTGGAAATAGAAATACCATTTGACCCAGCCATCCCATTACTAGGTATATACCCTAAAGAAGTGAGAGCCATGACAAGAACAGACATATGCACACCCATGTTCATCGCAGCACTATTTACAATAGCAAAAAGTTGGAAACAATCTAGGTGTCCATCAACTGAAGAATGGATAACCAAACTGTGGTACATACACACAATAGAATACTATGCAACCCATAAAGAATAACGTAAAATCTGCAAAACAGCGCATAACGTGGATGAACTTGGAGGACATTATGCTGAGTGAAATAAGTCAATCACAGAAGGACAAATATTGTATTAGTCCGTTATTGTAAAAGTCAAGGAACAGTTTATATATGGAAGGAAATTTTCTTTGCTGGTTACCAGGGGTGGGCGGGTAGAGTAGGGAACACTGTCAGATAGGTAGACACAGTATTGATTTGGGTGAAAAGAAGGGCAATGTCCCATATGTGAGTGATCAACATGGTGGCATTGAGGAAGAGGAAGACACAGAGAGGTACATGGGAGGTGCAGACAACAAGGATGAACCCTTTTGCATATACAGTCCTGCGTTGTCCGTGAAGGCAAACACGGGTATACGGGTGGATAGATGGGTGGACAGGCTGAACTATTAGGTATATCTATGCAGCAGGGAGTGTACCTAAGACTATATATAGGGTTGGCAGACAATGGTTCTTCAGGGAACAAGTGTATGTGTATGTTCTGTAAGAACTCCCAGGGATATAGTAGAGCTGAAAAGGGACAAGGTTGTAGTCACTTCTTGGTCACAGCCAGCTACCCAGAGGGAGCGAATAGTTGAACCTGTGGGCTTGGGACCACAGTGCAAGGGGACATCAAGCTCAACTGGCCTAACATACTACACAAAACATTGTTCCACCTCCTACTTTGGCAAGTAGCGACTGGGATCTTAAAAACTTGCAAATTGCCATCTAGATGCAACGATGGGTCTCTCCTCATCCAGAGCAAAGAAGAATGATGAAAACCAAAGATTCACGGAAACAATTAGTCCTCATGACTGGTACACTATGGGATCCTCAGCCTATACAACAATGAGACCAGAAGAACTAGATGGTGCCCGGCTACCACTGTCAACCACTCAGAGTGGGATCTATGTAGGAGATCCTGGATAGAGAGGGAGAACAATGTGGAACAAAATTCAAGATCATTGAGGGGGGAAAAAAAAACAAAAGGAGACCAGGTTTGCTGGTCTGACAGAGCCTGGTAGAACCACTGAGACTATGGTCCCTAGCTGCCCTTTAGGTCTGGAATTGAACCCACACCTGTGGCTTCCAGCCAAATAAAAGACAGCCATAAGAGTTTAACATGTACCTGAGGTAGATACATCCCTTGGAGAGAACAATCATGGGAGAAAGAAGGGCTGTTTATGCACAGGGAGACAGCTCATGGGGTAGGAGCACATGGAGGGATGGACACAGAGAAGAGGTAACTATCCGGAGGAACTGGGAGGGAAGGTGTTAAATTGGGATAGACTGTCAATGTCATCAGATAATGTATATGTGAACTGTAGCATGGAAAGTGAATTTGCTCTGTAAATTTTCATCCAAATCACAATTTAAAAAAAAAAAAGGAAAGAAAGAAAGAAAGTAATTAAACAAACACTCACATTATAATCTTTCTGGGTGTCATTAGGTCAGAACCAGGTAGCTTAAATGACAGCTTAAACATGAGGGGCCACAGTGTTGCCCCTCAACAAGGTACATCCCAGAGTTCAAAAAAATTTGGATTTTCCTTCAAAAATATTAAAATTATTTTCACTCAAAGACAGCCTTTAGGAAGTCATGCAGTAGGAAGAGTTTTGTATTTGGAATTCTTGTTTGCAGGAATTCTGGTAAGTTAGAAAGTCATGCCAAAGGCACAGAAAACCAGACCACTTACAACTTGACATTGGAAAACTCACTTAACAGGCCTGCCTCTAACATTCATTACCTCACGTATAAATTGGTACTCACATCTACCTCTCAGACTAGGCAGGATACAGGACAGGTAAAATGAGATTTATATGAAAATGCTTTGAGAACAGCTCATACACACATACACACACATTCCTAGTCTGACCCTTTTCTCCTATTCAGGAGTGGGAGGTGAGGCCATGTAGCAAACTAAAGTTAAACTGCAATTTGTGTGTGGAGTACACAAGTCTTTATCATAATTTCTATTTTAAATTGTTTCTGGAAATTTAAAGCCTTGTTATAGTCTCAAATTTGATTTTTAAGTATCAAACTCTAAAATACAAATTACTTTATCTGCAAATAAATTACTCTCAGAGAGTAGGACTTTGGAGACCACTATAACTCATCAAAGACATATTAAAGCCAAGTATCTCCCTATCTAATACCCTCAAACTCATAATAAAGACAACCACATCTCTTTTGTACATTTCTTCCCTCCATCAGCATAAACTTAATGCTGCCATAATAGATGATTACAAAATGTCTCCAAGAAATATTTACAAGTATTTAAAAAAATCAAATATTTATGTAATTAGTATTAAAATCTGTTACTAGCTTCTTCCCAAACTGAAGAGGACTTTCATGAAAAATTCCGAAAGTACCAAAAGAAAAAATTTTAATTTCAAGCTCATATAATATGATATCAGATGAAATTTTATAAACTATTAAGCTTACAAAAAAGGAAATCTAATCTCTTCTAAGCATGAGTGGTGGAGGGGTCTGGGTTGTCCATGAACATTCAGTCTCATTACATGAGCCAGTGTCAATGGAGGGTTAAAAAAAAGTACGGTGTAACCTCAGTGCAAATTAGGTACAACAAGAAATGAACGAAACTGCAATTTATTGTTTCACTACAAACAGAAACATCTAAGTAGTATCTAACGTACAGGAACAGTTGAAGGGAATTTATAAATTGAAAACAGTAACAGGCTTTGAAAAGAAGTCTTAGATTACAATAAAATCCATTTCAATGACATCATATTTTCTTCAATTCATTTTAGCTTAGTAAATAGTAGTAATTAATTTAAATTAGTAAATTAAAAACATTCTCTTTAACTCTTTTGCTTTTGGATCCTAACACTTATCTCTACCTTATAAGCATCACATAGCATAGTGCCTAAGGCACTTGACTGCTAACCAGAAGGCTGGTGGTTCAAACCCACCAGCCACTTCTCAGAAGGAAGGCTGGGCAATCTACTTCCACAGTGATACCGCCTCAGAAATCCAAGGAGGGTCCCTATGAGTTGGGGACGACTCGACGGCACATAACAACAACAACATACCCAAACCAAATCCACGGCTATCGAGTCAATTCCGACTCATAGTGACCCTAAGGACAGAACAAAACTGCCACACAGCCTTTCCAAGGCTGTAAATCTTCACTGAACAGACCGCATCTTTCTCCTACTGAGAGGCTTGTGGGTTCGAACTGCTGACCTTTTGGTTAGCTGCCGAATTCTTTAACCACTGCAGCACAAGAGCTCCTAATATCACTTGTACAGTACTAGTTTAATTCTAAAAATGAGTTCTGATCATAAAAATTTTTAGTCTAGTTAAGACAAGTAATTACAAAAATTTGCTTGTAGTTAATTGCTTTAAATATATAATCTCATTCAATCCTCTACAAGACCTTGAGTTAGACATTATTACTTCCATAATATCCATTTTAAAGATGCAGAAACTGAGTTTATAGGTATTAAGCAACTTAAAATCTTAGGCTAGTATGTAATAGGGCCCAGAATCAATCCATGTTAATCTACAGCAGATGCTTTCAATCGCATTGGAAACAAAGGTAAAATCTAATTTTTCAACCAGTTCCATATAACTTGAAAGAGTGACAAGAATCATGTATTCTAGAATGGCAGCAGTTTATGAAAAAAAAAAATAATTTCTACTTAAACATTCCTATTAAATGTGAAGCCTGTCAAAGAATATTTGGTATCTTTTGCCTTTCTTGTTTTTTATCTACGGAACAAAAATAGTCTTGAGACACCAATAACTAACTTTTAAAATTTAATGGCGTTACACACTGAATTTCAATACCTCACATTTAAATATGGAAGAAATCTCTCACGTAAATGACTCAGGAGCGAAGCCTGCAAAAAACGTGAACCTGTGAAATGTTCCTCCTCATTATCCTCTACCCTCACCCTAGAGTCACTAAAGAAGGAAAATACACAACTTCAAGAGAGCTGAAGGTATAAAGACAACCAGGTAACTGAGACAGTGTAAGATTTTTCCTTCATGCATCCATTTGGCTGAAGGCACTGAACTAGAAATTCTACTGCCTTTTACAAATTTCACAATTCCAAGTGACAGTTAAAAAGCAGCTGCAACATGAGCACATTGTATCCGAAAACGCTGACTCAAATAAGACATTTATCACGACTACCAGGTCTCAATTCTAGCTTCTCTGTCAATTATACAAAGAGTCAGCTATTAAATATTAATAGCATACCATTTGCACTGGAGCTCTGGAAAAGAGCCGCCTGCTAACAATTTTTGTTATGAAGGAAAAACCATCCTTATTTTCTAGGTAAATTCGAGGCCACTAGAATCCCTCGGATGGACTATCACAACCAGTCCTCCTCAGGGGAGGCTGAGAGAGCACCTCCACATCCCAGCAGGAGGGGCGCAGACGGAAGGCGGGTCCCCCGTAAGTCCTGGGGCATGGGTTCGCAGCTCCCTTCTCCCTCAGCTACCAGCTGCAGACCAGGCGGCGGGGCGGGGCCGTCCGCACAATGAGAGCAGACGGGCGGGGTGACTACGACCCCCGCGGGGGTGGGAGCGGGGCGAGGCGAGGGCCACTCACCCAGCAGCAACACGTTCTTCCCCGTGGGGAGCTTGGAGCGTGACCGAGTGGAGACCTCGCTGAGGATGCAGGACCTAACAGGGAGCAAGCAAAGCAAAAGATGAAGATAGGGGCCGGGACCGCAACGCAGGAGGGACTGGCCTCTGGCTGCCAAGAACGCACTGGCCCGGCCTGGCGCCGAGCTCCAGCGGGCACGGGATCCCGAGGCGTCCGGAGGGCCAGGAGAGGCAGCGGGGGCCCAGGGAGGGGTAGGTCGTTACCAGAGGTTCTGCCCGTCTTCGTCGTCGCCCGCTGTGGCGACGCCGTTGCCCGACGTTAGCTCGTTAGCTAAGGGGCCGCCCGTGTAGGTTGAGGCTAATCCCGGCGGAGAGGAACCGAAGGAGCCGACTCGCCCCGTAGCCGCCATTTTGGTCGGGAATCACTCCACTCCCGGCAAAGCTGAATGAGCTAGGCGGTGGCACCGGCGGCGGGAACCCGGATATGGGGCACGGGAGCGGGGCGGGGCCTACGGGGGAGGAGCCCTGAACCTAGACCTGGATGATGGAGCGAGCAAGAACTGACTGCGCGTGCGCTACAGGCTGGCGGTCCTTGAGGGGCTGCGCCTGCGCGGACGACAGGGCGTGTAGGTCTGCCGCAGCTAGAGTTCGGCTGATCTCACCCGAGGAGGCGCTTCCCGCTGCCCCACCCGTAGCTCTGGGCTGCAGCAGGGCGGGTTGGGGTGTGTCAGGCGAGGAGTGCTCCCTCTTTTCAGTCGGATCTATAAACCCCGCAGCCGGAGCAGAATTCCTGCACTATTAAGCGCAGATCCCTCAGCTACACTGGCACTTCACCGAGAAGTGGAAATGTGCACTAGTACAGAGGCGATTCTAAACCCTTATCTAGAGTGTTACAGTAGTCCAGGGTTTCTGGCTTTTTCCTCTGCGTTCTCAAGTGGCGAAGTGTTCCTCAAACCTTGATCCCACATCAAGAGCAAGTTCCCCTAGACCGTAAGCAGCTGCATGACCGTGATAAGATGTTGCCAGAGCATGATTTAACGGTTTCGATGTTTTCGAATGAGATGCTCCGCATGATATTTTAAGACTCACTATTGACCCATCCATCCATTTAGTCAACAACGTTTATTCAACACTCACTACCAGCATAGTTGGCACCGGGAATACACAGATGAAAAACCCGCTGTCATCGAGTCAATGCCGACTCATAGCGACCCTTTCGGACCCAGTAGAACTGCCCGGTAAGATTTCCAAGGCTGTAAATCTTCATGGAAGCGGACTGCCTCATTTTTCTCCCGCAGAGCAGCTGGTGTGTTTGAACTGACCACTGTTTGGTTGGCAGCCAAATACCTTAACCACTGTGGCATCAGAGCTCCTTCACAGATGGGAAAGAGGCCCTAAAATAACTTTTTCCAATGTTGTTGTTGTTGTTGTTGTTGGATGCCTGGAGTTGTTTCCAACTTACAGTGACCCTATGTACAGCAGAAGGAAACACTGCCTGGTCCTGTGACAGCGCCAGGATCCTTGCTATACCAGAGCCCATCTTTGCAGCCACTGTGTCAATCCATCTCATTGAGGACCTTCCCCTTTTTTATTGACTGTCCACTTTACAAAGCATGATATCCTTATCCAGGGAAAGGTCCCTTCTGACAACATGACCAAAGTAGGTGAGACGAAGTCTGGCCATTCTCGCTTCCAAGGAGCATTCCGGCCGCACCTCTCCAGGGCAGATTTGTTGTTTTAGTAGTCCATGGTACTTTCAGCATTCTTTGCCAACACCACAACACAACACCAGAACTCAAAAGCATCGCCTCTTCCTCCAATAGCTTTACCAATTAAATATATTTGAATATCTGAACCCCATGCCCAGAAAGGTTCTATCCTAGTAAACCTTGTAAGAGTAACTGCTTAAAATATTAGAGCCTTTATATGTTATCTCTGTCATTTCATATTTGAGAATCATTTGCTAATCTGTGAACTGATCAATGCTGTTATGCTACTGAGAAAATCTGAAGCTAAAGACTTTATTTACTATATATTAAACATTACAGTTGGGAGCTCTGGTAGCATAGTGGCTAAGACACTTGCCTGCTAACCAGACGGCTGGCAGTTCAAACCCACCAGCCACTCCTCGGAAGGAAGGTTGGGCAATCCTACTTCCGTAGTGATACTGCCTCGGAAACCCAAGGAGGGGTCGCTATGAGTCGGGGCCAACTCAACGGCACATAACAACAACAACAACAACAAACATTGCAGTTAGAAAGCCTGAAAGGCTTTGGAGACTGGCAAATCTGAGTCCAAGTCCAGTTCTACCACTTTACTAGCTGTGTAACCTAAGGCAACTTAACCTCTCTGTGTTTCAGTTTCCTTGTCTGTAAAATGGGGCTTAAAGAACCTAGAGTTGTTATGAAGATTAAATAGGATGATTCATGTGAAATGGCTTAGAACAATGACAGATAAATCTTAGGTGCTCAATGAATGTTAATTATTAGTAATAATTTGTTTTATCTTTACTTTGCAAAAGGAGCTCTAGTGGCACTGCAGGCAGTTGGCTGCTAACCAGAAAGTCCCTGGTTCAAACCTACAAGCTGCTTCGCAGGAGGAAGATGAGGCAATCTACTTGCATAAAAATTTACAGCCTAGGAAATCCAATGGGGGTTGCTATGAGTTGGGATCATTCGATGACAGTTTTTTTTAACTTTTCAAACCATTAATATTTGACCAATCCCTGGAATTGATGTCACCAAGATTAAGAATGTGTGTCAACTTGACTGGGCCATGATTCTAAGTGATTTAAGCAATTATGATATATTCATCCCTTATGATGAAATCTGACATAATCACTTCTGTGATGAGATGTGCCGTGAGCAGCCAATCAGTTGAAACAGAGTTTCCTTAGAGGTGTAGCCTGCTTCCAATATATATATGGACTTGCTGGGAAAATGCTGTGACTTTCGGCTATATCTTGATCCTGTGTCTAGCTAATCCTCATCTCTTGTTCCTAGACCAGTGCCTGCCATATTGCCTGCCGCTCTTGGGATTGTTACCTTCCAACCTGTGAGCCAACAGTCTGCCATTTTACCTGCCAATTTTGGATTTGTCATCCTCCAAAGCCAGCAGCCTGCGATACTGCCTGCTGATCTTAGGTTCATCAGCCCCTACAACTGTATGAGTCAGGAGAAGCCTCAAGCTTGATCCACACAGACTTGGGACTTACCAGCCTCTACAACTGTATGAGCAATTTCCTTGAGATAAATCAATCTCTTATCCTCTCTCTCTCTCTCTCTCTTTCTTCATATATACACACACACACACACACACATATATGCATATATGTGTACATACACACACACACACATATGTGTGTATGTATTTGCTTCTGTATATATGCTTCACTGGTTTGCTTCTCTAGAGAACCCACCCTTAGACATTAAGGAACTCCTGCAGCTAAAAAATCTTTGTTTTGTTGTTTTTGTGTTTAAGGAGAAACCAGAGTTCTGACATGGACTGGGCAGTGTTTTGTTCTGCTGTACACAGGGTCGCTATGAGTCAGAGACAACTCAATGGCACCTAACAACAACAACAGAGTTCTCCCATAGAGTCCCAGGCTTCCTGTGGTGTCAAGCTGGGCTGAGATCCCCAGGAGAAAATGTTTGGGTCTTTAGTCTACTGCCCTAAAGGAGAGCTTTTTCCCTCTGAGAGATGATTCACTCTATGTATTTTACTCCTTCAAATATTCTTTTTTCCTCAGAACATTTTACTCTTAATTTTGTCTATATACAGAGTTGTCAGTTCCACATCATATTTGCCTAATGTTATGGATTAAATTCTTTTCCTTAAAAACATGTGTTCAACCTGTGGGCCTGGGACCATAGTCACAGGGGACATCAAGCTCAATTGGCATGACATACTACACAAAACACTGTTCCATCTCCTACTTTGGCAAGTAGCGACTGGGATCTTAAAAGCTTGCAAGTAGTCATCTAGATGCAATGATGGGTCTCTCCTCGTCCAGAGCAAAGAAGAATGAAGAAAACCAAAGATTCATGGAAACAATTAGTCCTAGTGACTGATACACAATGTGATCCACAGCCTATACGACTATGAGACCAGAAGAACTAGATGGTGCCCGGCTGCCACTGTCAACCA